GGCATTTCCATCCCTCCCATGATGTCTGTGTGTTTGTGTGTCTGTCTGTGTGTCTGCTGTTCAGGTTCATGTTTCATTTGGAGAACGAGGAGGGTCCTCCCCAAGCGGGCAGCTTCACGCTGAGCGTGCGGCTGAAGGACCTTCTGTCCGAGAAGGAGGAGGACGCGCTGGTCAGCCGCATGCGGCACCAATACAGCGCCCGGCCCAACCCCGAGGAGGACTTCGAGTTCAACCGTGCGTTCCTCGAGAACCCTCTTGACCCCAGGAGGCCCGAGAAGGCCCTGAAGAGAGCGAAACGACTGGCCCGCATGAACCGCTTCTTCCAAATGACAAGTCCGCGCAACGAGTTCGTCGACGTCTGGTTCAGTAAGGGCTTGTAGATACATACACACATTGGCAGATCAAGCGATATATGGATGGAGAGGGGGAGAGAGGGAGGCGTTTGTTGGTGGTGTGTCTGTCAGTGGCGTGGCATGAGGTAGTGGTTTTTGTCTGTGGTAGTAGGCTAGGCAGTGTTGGCGGTGGCTGACTCGCGCTTACGTGCAGTGGATGGATGGATGGATGTGTGTGTGCGTGTGTCAAACGGCCAGCGACAACGAGCTAAGATGATATGATCAGTGAATTGACCGATTCATTCGTCTAGGGAGTTTTGCCACCATCCGGCCGGCATTCATTCATTAGTGTACACAGACAGATACACACAGACAAACAGTTCACGATTGCGAGCCAGGCAGACAGACATGCAGAGCATGAGGACAAGGAAGGGCAAAAAGGCCATGTGCACTGACTGAGTGATCGATGGCCATCTGGTGGAGAGGGGTCATCTCTGCCTTCATTCCATTCCTGGGTGCCTTGTCAGGTCACCCTCTTCTCAGGTGTGGAGACAGATGGTGCCCCACCCCACCAGGCGCACTGCACCTCCCAGCATTGCAATCAATGCATGCAGCAGAAACGCCGCACAGCAGTACATACGAAGGCAGCCAGACACCACACGAGCACCGTCTGTGCCATGCCTCTCTGCAAGCTAGCACCGCCACCACGTCGAGAGAAGGAGCTCTGATAGAGGTGCACCATCAGAGTTCCAATCAAACGACGATGCCAGCAGGCCAAAAAAGAGGAACACACACGGGTTTCACAGGCTCTTCACGCACAACAACCCCCCCCCCCCC